CGGAGCAGCTGGTAGTTTCGAACCGCTGACCTTAAGGTTCGCAGCCCGATTCGTAACCACTACGCTACCAGAGCTCCTTAGGACTTAGAGTAGGAGGCTTTAATGTCAGGGTTAAAGTGCTTGGCCACTAACCAAAAGGTCGTCAGAAAGAACCCTATGTTGTTGTTAAGTACCATCAAGTTGGTTCCGACCCACAGTGACCCTGTATAAGGTTTCCAAGGAGTGGCTGGTGAGTTTGGACTGCCGACCTTGTGGTTAGAACCAACCAGCCGTTCTACAACAGAAAGATAATGGTAGCTTGTTTCCATGAAGATTCCAACCTTGAAACCCTGTGGGGCAGTTCTCCTATGTTTTGTGGGGTTGCTGTGAAGCAGAAGCAACTTGACAGTAGCAGATTTGCTTTTTTAATAGAGCTGACCTGGGGGGCAAAGGTGATTCAATGGAAGAATTCTTCCCTCCCCTGTGGGGAACCCAGGTTGAATTCCAGCCAGGGTACCAGTCAGCCACCACCTAGCTGTCCAGGGAGGCTTGTGTGTTGCTATGATGCTGGATAGAGTTCAGCAGACCTTCTGAACTAAGAGTAGGTAGAAAGACCTGGTGATCTACTTTCAAAACTCAGTGAAAGCCCTCTGAGTCACAGAGGTTCAGTATGTAACTGATCATGGGGGTGGCTTAGGACTGGGCAGTATTTTGTGCCTTCGTGCATGAGATTCCATTGATGGACTGGCTCACGAGCAGCCAACAGCTACAACATAGAGTTGAGAGAGGCATGTGTCATACAAAGGGACTCAAACAGTTCGAGGAAAAATGGAATAAAAATTAATTTTCCCCTAAACTTTTTGAAGCTCCCTAGTATTGGAGTCCTGGTGTGGCGCTATGGGTTAATGCGCCAGGTCACGGTTCAAGCTCACCAGCTGTTCCGAGGAAACCCTATGCAGGGTCACTATATGTTAGAAACGACTCGATGGCAACTAACAACAACAAGTATTGGTGTATTGGTGTGGTGCTGCAGGATAATGCACTGGATCACAAGGTTGGTGGTTCAAACCCACCAGCTGCTCCTCAGAAACCCTATACAGGGTTGCTGTGAGTTGGAACCGACTCGATGGCACTTAACAACAGCAACGGTATTAGAGAGCTGGATTTTGTTCCAGTCAAATAAACCTAAGTAGACAGTGGCTGATTGAATGGCAGGGCTGAGGCCCTGTGGAATCATGAGGTATGCACATGTGAGCGTTCCTTCTTTGGGTTATTAGAAAGTCTCTCAAGCAGAAATTTCTCCGCAGCAGCATTCTGTGTCTGGTTTGCAGAGTGAAAGCTGATTTTCATGATGATCACACTTCAGCATTCTCAAGTCCCCTGTGACTTGTGAATCCAAGAAGAAGGGAGCGTCAGCATGGTGTGGCTGTATGGCCCTGGAGTGGGTGCTCTGAACTCAGGTTCTTTGATTATATAATACTGGACTGCGTACTACAAGGTCAGCGGTTCAAACCCACCTACCGCTCCTTAGAAACCCTGTACAGGGTTACTATGAGTCGGGGTTGACTCAACGGCATTTAACAACATCAGCAACCATGTGTGATTGGGGTTCCTGGTGAGGCACTGTAGGATCAGCATTGGACTGTGAACTACAAGATTGGCAGTTCAAACCCACCACCTGCTCCTCGAAAACCTATACAGAATTGCTACAAGTTGCATCAAGGTGGACACGATGGCACTTAATAAATATGATTATTTATAAACCAAGGCTTGCCTTGTAAACAGTGCACATTTCATACAGGGCGATATTATTAAGCTTTAATTGGGTGACATAAATCTTAGTGGGCTTTTTTGGTTTTGAGTTTTAAATAACAGTTTAACTGTAGCTGCTGAAACACGGACACCCTTAGCATTCTTGGGATGTAACTGTAGGGGAGGGAAGGCCAGTTCTCTCTGTCAACAGAACTCCGTCCTGAGCTAAGGCATCCTTGGGTCCCTAACCTATGTCCCTGTGAAGTGAGACTGTCAAACAACAGCTCTGACTCTGTTTATAAATGTTCCCTAGCTACAGTACCACTCTCTAAACAATCAGGATTCTGACCTCGCTGTGTGAGCCCCAAGCATTTTCTCAAAGGAGCTCTCTGAACGATTTTAAACCCAAGCATTTCTGCTCATGTTCTCCTGTTTCCTCTTAGGTATTTTAACGAGATGTCTGCTCAAGGACTAAGACCTCGCACTGTGTCCAGCCCAATCCCTTACACACCTTCTCCAAGTTCCAGCAGGCCTATATCACCCGGTGAGTAGGTGCTCAGAGCTACTGGTACACTTAGTAGACAGCCTTGAATGTGTCCTCTTCCAACATTAAAAGAAAAAATCTTATAAACAGAATGATCAGGGTCACATGGTTTCCAGGAACATCAAAACACAAATCAGTACCAAGATGAGCTGTCTTAAACTGTTGAAAATTTTGAACACAGATGTTATAAAAAGAAGACTATCTCTGACTTTGATTTTTAAGAGCCAATGGATTGATAAGAAATCTCGGGTAGGCTTTTAAGACGCATCTTGACACATCTCCTATTGGGTCTTTTTCTGTGGTTTACATACGTTATCGTACTCATTTTTGTCTACAGAATAATTAACACAGGCATCATTTTACCCAAGTCAGAATCGAGGAAGCAGTGATTCAGAGGGTCAGTAACTACTGATCACAGGCAGGAAGTGGTAAGAAAGGGGGTGCTTGTCTCCAACACCCATCTTCCGTCTAGCACAAGCTGCCCCCTAATCATACCAGTGATCCATGAATGGAGCTCGGCTGCAGTGGACCGGCGGGCGCTACAAGCAGCTTCTATCAGGCATTCTGCTTTTTGCTTTGCTCTTCAGAAGTTTTCCCTCAAAGGCATGCTTGTCTTGATCTGACCCCAAAAGCACTCTCCCCTCCCCCGGGAGCTCTGGCTCAGTACCAGCACAGTGTGGGGTCTCGTGGGCCAGGAGGGCAAGTAAATGATCCAGCTAGGGAGAAAGCGGAAGCAGAGGGGGTGGAAGGAGAAAAGAAAAGGTAGCAGCAGGCCAAAGGAGAGTGTCTTGTGACTGGAGTGATGAGCCTAGTTTTCTTGGGCTTGCTGGGAAACGGATTGTGTACAGAGTTGGGTGGATGAAGGAGGAGTTTCTCAACAGAATAGACTGAGGTGACTGCTCTGAAACGTCTCGTACAGAGGTCGTATCGTTTGGAAACATTAAGTAGCATAATCTTAGAGGGACGGCTCATTTTGTCTGTGATGCTAGTGAGTAGGAATGCCCTTTAAGATGATGAGAGGGAAATGCTACAGAATAGGCTGAAATAGAAATGACTTGGGTTTTGTGAGTTAAGGATTATGCCTCCACGACATTTACCCCTCCCCCTTGGGCCCTGTAGGATAAGGACTGGATTGCTATAACTACAAGGTCATTGGTTCAAAACCACCAGCCGCTCCTCGGAATCCCTATCAGGATCTCTATGACTTGATAACATTGAACAAGAACAAGAACAGGGGCAAATAAGATGGAAAAGTCCAGAAGCTTATGTGCGCTTCAGGCCAGCGAGCTGTCTGGCCTCAGGCCAGGGGTAAACGGGCTGTTTGCAGACCGAAGAACTTTCTAGCATGGGTCAGTGTTGCTGTCACTGCCCCTTGTTCCTGTGGAGAGATGTTGCTGAGCCTGTTTTCAAACCTTCTCTCTCTAGCTCCCTCACAGTTTTCCCAAAATAGCACTTGGGGTTTCATTACCAAGATAAAGCCCTTCCTTTGCCTTTTGCTTGATTGATGTGAAAGGAAGGCATGAGTCAGGAAGAGACAGGGTGGACGGTTGTTTTTTTCGTTGATGGTGACACTGATTCCGATTAGATGCAACTTAATGCGCTGCTGGATTTATTTAAAGCTGAAGAAGTCTTTGCTAGAACCAGTTGCTGTCCAATAGATTCTTACTCCTGGTAACCCGATGTACGTCAGCATACAGGGGACTCCATAGGGTTTTTTCAATGACTAGTTTTGGAAGAGTTGATCGCCAGACCTCCCCTTTTTTTTTTTTTTTGAGACGCTTCTGGATGAATTCACACCTCAATTTATGAATAGCAACCCAGGATGTTTGCTGTTTGCACCACCATGGGAATCCAAAGACATCTTTGTTGTCATTGTTAATTTCTGTCTAGCTGACAACTGACTCACGGCAACCTTACATCTAATAGAAAGAGATGTGGCCAGGCCTTGCATCCAACCTTGCCCTACCCTTAATGTTTGTTGGTAAAGAAATCTTCAGTGCTAATTTTCAATTAGTTAAATACAATGTTGTGGATACTGGGGTGTGGGGGGGGGTGAGCGGTAAACACTTGAATATTACTTTGATTGCACCTGTCCTACATTGAATGTGTGGGATTTGCTCGTATATACAAGGGTAAGTAAGAAAGTATTGCTACTAGGGTTCCAGTAAGCACAGGCTTATTCCAGACAAAATGTGCTTAAATATGTTTCTGTAATCAGTGAATATTTTTGTTGTTGTTAAGTGCTGTCATATCAAGTCCAACCCATAGCGACTGTGTACAGGGTTTCTGAGAAGCACCTGGTGAGTTTGAACTACTGACCTTGTGGTTTGCAGTCCAGTGCTGATTCTGCAGTGCCACACCAGAATTCTGTGATCAATGAACAGCTACACACAAATTCATTCATGAACTTGTTTTAGTCTTGTTAGAATGAATTAAAAACAAAGGATACTTTTTAGGCTATGAAAAATGATTTTGACATCAAGAGTAATAATAACACATTTTAAATAAAACTGAAGTATGTTGTTATGTGCTGTGGAGTCAGTTCCGACCCATAGCGACCCTGTACAGGGTTTCTGAGGCTTTAAATCGTTACGGGAGCAGAAAGCCTCATCTTTCTCCCACGGAACAGCTGGTAGTTTCGAACTGCTGACCGTGAGATTAGCAGCCTGATTCATAACCACTACGTTACCAGTATACATTCTTTCCAAATGATTGAAGCTTTGTATCTAGTTTACGGGAATGCTTCCCCACACATTTAGATGGATCAAGCATTTTAAGGAAAGTTGTTGTTGTTGTTAAGTGTTGTCCTGTCAGTTCCGACTCATAGTGACTCTGTATAGGGTTTCTGAGGAATAGCTGGTGGGTTTGAACCACCACCCTTGCAGCTCAAACTTACCTTGTAGTCCAGCACATTATCCTATTGGGAAGACCTCAAAGGTAAATTCAAGGCAGAAAGGCCGGCTCAGAGAGTTATGCTGTTTTTTGGGGGATTCCAAGGGATAATTTTGATAGATCTTCTTGAATGACTTCCATGGGGATTTATTTATAAAGATGTTTTAAGAAAATTGAAAACATCATTGGTGAGGAAAAGGCCAGGAAAGTTGTGTCGTGGAATTTTTTTCCGTCATGACAATATACTTGCACATTTGCTGAGGGTAGCAGAGGCTGTCCTGAGAATTTCATTGAGAAACCATACTTCATCCACCCTACAGCCGTAATCTTGCCCCTCTTCATACTTCGTTTGTTCCCCAAACTCTAAGAAAATTTAGTAGAAATACTATTTGAGTCCCTCAAGGATACCAAACTGCCATTTTTCACAGGGTATAAATCGAAGAGCTCAGAAATCTTTGGGAAAGGAGGAGATGGAAATACCACTGTGAGAAGTGTATAGACCTAGATAAAGGATATGTTGAGAACTAAGTTTCACTTTTTGATATTTCTGTTTATAAAGATTTCCATGATCTTGTAGCAATACATTTTGACTTAAACTCTTGCAAAAGTTGTTGGGGTTTTCTTTAAACAGTGTAATACATATATTGTTGTTGTTGTTAAGTGCCGTTGAATTAGTTCCAACTCATAGCGACCCTGCATAGGGTTTCTGAGGAGCACCTGGTGGGTTTGAACTGCCGACCTTGTGGTCCAGTGCATTATCCTGCAGCACCAGACCAGGACATGTACTCTCGCTTTCTCTCTCTATATATATACTCACGCTCATCTATGTCTTTACCAACATAATCCCAAATGAGAACAGTTTTTCCAGTTTTAAGTTGTGTAATATCATCACAGTACATTTTATCTCCTATTTGGCAGCAAAATTACTCTCATCTAATATGTTGCCGTTTTATCTTACATAGTGGGTTAGCAGAACCTGAATATTCAAGTTTTCTTTTCACTTTAGTTTTTGTTGGAAGAATTTGTGGCTTGCAGCATTAAGACTATGTAGTCACTTACTCAGTGGGCATACTCTGTTGATGTCGTTTTCATTTCCATTTTAAGCATTTTGGCTCCTCTTCTCTTCCCATTTTTGGTTGACATGGAAATCCTGCATATTCATCAACTTCTTGAAATTTTTTTTCAAACATTCCACAATTAGATTGAAAGATACTATTCTTAGACCTTTTCAGAGATCCTCTTCATAATATATTGTTGTTAAGTACTGTCAATTCAGACCCATAGCAACCCTGTACATGGTTTCCAGGGGCAGCTGGTGAACTTAAACTGCTGACCTTGCAGTTCAAACTGCTTTGTGGTCTGGTGCATTAACCCGTAGCGCCACACCAGGGCTCGATTATTAGTATAAGTCAAAAAGTATTATTTTAGGATTCCAGTTCATGCGTGCGTGGGTTCCTTCCAAACAAAACCTGTTTAAACATGTCTTTGTGATCAGTGGATGGCTGCAGACAAGTTCTGTCAGGAATGCACTTGTCTTAGTCTTGTTAGCTGAAGCCCTGGTAGTGTAGTGGGTTATGCATTGGGCTGCTAACTGCAAAATCAGTAGTTCTAATTCACTGTCCGATCCTTAGGAGAAAGATGAGACTTTCTGCTCCCCTCAAAATTTATAGCCTCGGAAATCGTATGCAGGGTTGTTAGGAGTCATAACTGACTTGATGGCACAGAGCAGCAGTCTTGGTCGAGTGTCTTCAGAAAAAAGTTCAATCAAAATAGTAGTTTTCAAAGGGATCTGCTAGGCCAGGCAAATTCAAGGCAGATGAGGTAAGCTCACTAGGTTATGTTGGTTGATTTTTGGAATTCCAAAAGCATCCTTCTGATGGTGAGGACCCAGGGTGAGGGGGATCATGAGTTCTGGTGTGCTGCTGTGGAGTAATGCTCTGGACTGCAGGTGTCGGTTTGAACCACATGATCGGCGGTCAAGCTCACCATCTGCTCCTTGGAAACCCTATACAGGGTTACTATGGGTAGGAACTGACTGGATAGCACAGAACAACCATAATTATGAAGGAGCTTTGAGACTATGGAAAATTACATTGGTGAGGAAAAGG